AACTCTGGTAATTGACAGCTCCATGCTCAGATATGTGGCATTAGAGACACCAGAGACCACAGTCAAATTTTTTGGGGGGGCCACAAGAACAAGCGACATCAAAACCTACCTGAAACTGCTGGCTTAGGATAAGGTTAAATACATTAAGACTGTTATTCACGCTGGCAGTAATGACACCCGGTTACGCCGATCAGAGGTCACTACAATAAGTGTTGCTTAGTTGTGTAAGTTTGCCATAACAATGTCGGACTCTGTCATTTTTTCTGGTCCCCTCCCTGATCTGACGAGTGATGACATGTTTAGCTGCATGTCGTCATTCATTCGCTGGTTGTCTAGATGGTGTCCTGAAAACAATGTGGGCTACATTAATAATTAGCAATCTTTTTGGGTAAAACCTGGTCTGATCAGAGATGGCATCCATCCCATTTTGCATGATGCAGCTCTTCTTTCTAGGAATCTTGCCAAATGTATTAGTCCTCCCAAACCATGACAACCCGGGGTGCAGACCAGGAAGCAAAGTCATAGTTTAATACACCTCTCTCCAGCTTCTCTGCTGTTACCCACTTATTACTCCATCCATCCAGTGTCTTGCCCTCAACCAAAATCTAATAAAGTAGAAAAGAATCGCTAAGGAGTAAATAATCATAGTCTAATTAAAATCCAATTGGGGGAAAAGTTAAAATGATTAAATGTGGTTTATTTAACATAAGATCTCTTTCCTTAAAAAGTGTGCTAGTTAATGACTTGATTTGTGATAATCACATTGATTTAGGATGCCTTACAGAAACTTGGCTGCAGCAAGAGGATTATGTGAGCATAAATGAGGCAATTCGCTCCAGTTATATAAATATACACATACTCTGAAATTTTGGGCGAGGAAGAGGAGTAGCCACAATCTTTCAGTCTGAATTACTGATAACTCCAAATTCAGTAAATAATTACAACACTTTTGAACATTTAACCCTTAGATTCCTTTATTCAAACTGCAAAGCCACAAAGCCCGTTATTTTTGTAACTTTGTATCGTCCACCAGGTCCTTACTCTGAACTTTTAAATTAGTTTTCAGAGTTCCTGTCTGATTTGGTGTCGAATACTGACAGAATCATCATTCATGCTGAAATTGAAGGTGATATCTTAAGTGCAGCCTAATAGCGTCATTACATCCACCCGCTCAAAGAACATCACCACCAGGGCCAACCAATGTCCGTTGATGAATGGGGAGGTTCAGAAATTGTTAAAAGCATGGAACTGACCCTTCAAGTCTGGTGATAAAGAGGCACTGAGAACAGCACTTGCCAACTTGAACTGTGCCATTAGATCAGTGAAGCAGAACCACAGCCTTAAGATCCAGGATGTCTTCCATGATGCCAGCAACACCAGGAGAATGTGGCAAGGCATATGGGCGATCACAGACTACAACACACCCTTCCCCCTGGTCAGTGCAACTGATGCTGAATTCCTATATGAACTAAACAACTTCTCTGAAAGGTCTGAGGCACTAAACAGCACTCCAGCAGTGAAAGCCATTCCACATCAGGAAGAGGAGGCACTCTGCCTTGACACAGCTTATGTTTGAAAGAGTCTACAGTAAGTAGAGTCAACCTAAGAAAGACCCCAAGGCACCGATAACATACCTGGGCGAGTGTACAAAAGGTGTGCAGACATTTTTTAACACCTCGCTGGACCAATCCATAGTGCCAGCATGCTTTAAGTCTGCCACCATCAGAGTGGTGAGAACAGCAGAGAGGATCATCTGAGCTTCTCTTCCCTCCATAAAAGACATTTCATCCCAGCGCTGTGTGTCTCGAGCCCATAACATCCACAATGACCCCTCACACCCCCACCATGGACTGTTCTCTCTACTGCCCTCTGGGAAGAGGCTTCACAGCATTCAATGCAACTCCAGCAGCACCTGCAACAGTTTCTTCCCAACCATCATCAGACTGATGAATTGCTAAAAAAAAAAAAACAACACTAAATCATGTCACAGACTCTGCATCACACTGATAACACCAAACCAAAAAACTGCATACTTGCACCATCTATATTATGGACTAAACGACTCTATCAATGCATTTTTTGCACCATGTTTTTTTCTCCTACTGTTTACATTTGATCACTGCTGCACTTTATGGAATAGAAATGTTCACTAACTGTCTGGAAAGCTGTACTAAATTAAATTTAGTTTTGTATACAACCTGTGTGTACAAAATGAGAATAAAAGTTGCCTAAGTCTCTAAGTCTATTCAAAATGTGAATAGTCCCACACATTTTCATCTTCATACTTTGGACCTTGTGCTGACATATGACATAGAATGTGACGAAATAAAAGTATTTTCTCACAACCCTGTCCTCTTTGTCCACTTTTTAATTACCTTTAGAATTACTTTAACAAAGTTCTCCTCCCCCAAAAGAAGATTTAACTTTAGCAGATCATTTTCAGATAACGCAGTTATAAATTTGAAATAATCTGTTTCACTTTCTCTCTCCTTTGTGTCGCTGAGCAGTGCTGCAGAGGGCATATGTTTAGTTTATTCCCTTTCAAAGGTTGATGGTGTGGTTGATGGGGTTGCTAGCTATCGGCATACTGCCTCAGACAACATAGCCACTTTGAAAAAGAAAAGCTTAAAAAATAGAAAGCTGGCTCCCTGATTAAATGCTGTGCACTCTAAAGCAAAATGCTAGAAACCGGAGAGAAATTCAAGCTCCATAGGCCTAAGGGAATCCTACCTAGTCTGGAAAAATAGTTTACTGTCGCAAAAGACGACCCTTCATTAAGCAAGAGTAGCATATTTCTCCTCATTGATAGAGGAGAATAGAAATAATCCTAGAATTCTTTTTAATACAGTTGCCAAACTCACCCAGAGCCATAGCTCTGTTGAACTGTTCCTCCCACCTGCTCTAAGCAGTGATCATTTTTATGGGATTTTTCATAAATAAGTCTGATTCTATTAAAATAAGATCATAAGCATCCCTCTAACATCCCTCTCCCTATACCAGGGAGTTTTTCCTCTCCACTGTCGCTATGCTTGGTGTGAGGGATTGCCTTTGACTCAATGAGTCAATGCAATCAACTGGTTTTCCTTAGATAGAAAACTTTGAACCAATCTGACTGTATGACCTAGTTGAATTGTCTCTGTATAGTGTCTTGAGATGACATGAGTTGTTAATTGGTGGTATATAAATAAATATACAGAATTTGTGTCGGTGAAAATAGTGAACAAGCTCCTGCACTGCAGCTCCTTTAGTCCAATGACTATTCTGTAGAAAAACATTATGATTGAGGAAAACAATGGCTTGTGGTGCTGGCAGCAACATATTTCATGTGCTTATGCAGTGTAGTGTTCTTTGTGCAGCTGGGACAGTAACATTATGTTTCTCTGAATTCAACCATTTTTTCAAAAATAAATTTTAGATTTTTTTTCTAGCTTCCATTCACTTCTCTACTAAAAGTCTAACACAAGTTAGTGGTAAATATGTTGCCTAAATAATTCTCTGATATGCATTTTTTTTTCTCTTTGTGCCCCAACGTGTGTGCACACCTGCAGGATGAGGATGAAATAATCCACAGGCTTGTTCCTGTGGAAGAGGTAGTGCTCCACTGCCCGCTTATTATTCTCATCATATTTCAGCTCCTGGATGACGTTCGGGTGCTTCAGTAACCGCAGCAGGATCTTTTCTGACATCTGCACTGGAGAGAACGGCTCCACCTCTGATGGACCAAACAGATGATATAGGGGTTAAAATTACCTCGCATTTTATGGATTGAAATTCTAAAAGTTGACCTCTAATTAAAAAAAAAACAAAAAAAAAAAAACACATTTAAGCATAAATAATTTCTACATTTTTTGATTTCCATAACCAGAAACATTAAAATTGGATCTGAGCATCTTTGCAGTGGAAAGCAATTGTCTTCTTGAAAACATACTAATGTTTTAAAACCAGTGTCTAGAAGGAAGAAATGAAAAGTCAATGTTACAATTCTACATCCTCCAATAGAACTTATCTTAATTTTACATTGGAAAGCTGGAATATCTGAATGGCTTATTACATGTTAGCTGATATCATGTCAATGCCAAGCTGCACTGATGCTGTTGTTTATGCAAAGGAAGAAAAAATAGAACATGCTTTTCAAATGTCTTACATTTTTGTTTAAAGGAATTTTTTTTTGTAATTATGACAGACAGAAGAAGACTGCAGTACACAGGCAACACTGGGCCCTCTGACCACCACAGTAGGAAATAGAGGTAAAGTGTCTCAGTCAAGATAGACAAGCAAGGTGTTGAACTGGCAATCCTCTATTTGCAGGACAGACTCTTGCATCCTATGACACGGTGTGATCATGATATTTATTTATTTTGTCCTCAGAATCTAACTTTTAGACTGATTTGCAGAATGCATAAAAAGAATCTGTTCAACAAATAATAATCTGACACATAATAGTTTTGTCAAGCATTGTGAAAAAGCACTGGGTAATAGTTTCAAAGGTCAGTTTTTTACACCAAATGTTTAGGAGGGGTCTCCTAATCAGCAGTTTTTCTGACATTCTAAAGGTCCCCCAAATTTATTTCTACTTCTAAAGTTTGCTTTTGCTGATTTTTACCAGCTTTTTATTCCAGCCCTTCTATCTAACTGGGCCAGAATATTATGCCTAATGTGCTTAAAATACTAGAATGACTGATATAAGAATTGCCTGTCCTAAAGGTCTAGTTATAACAGATGAATTTTCAAAAAGAGCAGCATCGTTCTCTGTTGGCTCATATAGTGTTTTAGGCAATACTTATTTTATTTAAGATCCAATCAGTTTAGAGCTGATTAGTGCCAGACTTTCAGAACATTTCCATACATTTTTATGAAAATCTGTTTTGCTACATAAAGTTAGCAAAAAGATCTGGAAAAAAAAAAAAAAAAAAATGAGAAACATGCAAATGTTTTGTTAATGAAGACCACAGAAAACCTGGCGGCAGTTCAGATTCATAAACTAAATCACAGAGGGATAATTCAGTGGAATAACGGTCCACAGCAAACCAGGAAGTGGAC